ATGCTCCATGGGCAGTGACATCTTTCGGTGGGTCTTGAGCGCATCAGAAAGTCTGTAACTAGGGCTGGAGATGGTGTCCACACCCAGGTTCGCTTCAGGATCCCATCTGACCTGTTGGTGGGCTTGAGCCCTGGCTCGCTCCTCTGCTGTGTGTATGAGTTTCCTGTAGCTGCTGTGACAAATGACCATAAACTTAAGCCAGCGTAAGCCAGCAAACAGTTTATTCCTTCAAAGTTCTGATGTTCAGAAGCCCGAAATCAAGGTGCTGGCAGGATCACACTCCCGCCAAAGACGGGGGTTGGGGGGGTATGTGGGGGGACATGATCTCTGGTCTCTGCCAGGCGCCGGTTGGCTTGTGCTGCGTCCCCCGATCCTGCCTCTGTGGTGATGTGGGTCCCCCACTGTGTGTTTCTCTTAGGTAAGTTTCTTACCCCACAGGTGTCACTGGATTTAGGTCCCACCCATCTTGAGATCGTCACTGCATGAAACCTGCAAAGACTCTCTCTAAAGCGTCGCATCCTCAAGTCACAGTGTTTAGGATGTAGACAGTCCCCTTTAGGGGACACCATTCAGTCCACTCTGCTGAGCGACCTTGAAAATGTCAGTTAGCTTCTGTGAGCTTCCCTCCCTCCCTGATGAGACCAGGATAGTAATTCCTACCTCACCAGGTAACTGTGAAAATTCAAGTGAAGGTGTTTGTCACGTAGTAGATGCCCTATAAATACACGCGTTTAATTATGCAGATTCCAACCCTGTGAACCCGGCGCTGTCAGTCCCAGCCCCTCTGGCCTCGTGAGCCTCTGCCCATCTCTGGCTGCCTCCTGTCCCTCCCGACCTCCCCTCTCTGCCTCCACGTTTTACCCGACTCCCCCTTTCCTAAAACTCCCAGTATCTTCTGTGTCGAAAGCATCAATGCATATTTTAACTGGACCGTCTTCTCAAGCCACGCGGGCTTGCTTTCCCCTGAAGCCAGCACCATGGAGGGGCGCCCCGTCAGCACCTGGCCCTGCACTGGTTACGGCTCACAGGTGGGAAGACCTGGATCCTAGCGCCATTTCAACTACCAAGCAGCAGTGTGACCTTAGCCTAGAGCCTTAACGTCTCTGAGCCCGGCTCACACTACCTGCCTTGCCGCCTAGCCCAGGCTCAGGAAGGCGAACAGGGGGACGGACTGTGGTCTGTGCAGCGTGGGTCCTCCATTCCCAGCTTGGCCTGAGGCAGGGTCCCTGTCTCCCTGGGCAGGGCTGCCCAGGCTCAGCCCCTTCTCCCTCAGGCTGTCCTCTCTGCGCCCCTTCACTAGCTGGACCCCAGCGAGGGTCCAGGCCCCGCCTCTCCCGCCTGCCAGCTGGCGCCTCCATCAGCCGAGACATGCGTGGGGGCTGTGCAGAACGGGGCTGGTGGCCCGGCCTGGCGCGTCCAGGCACCCGGCCCCGCCCCGCTCGGGGACTCACTGGTACCGCCCGGGTCATTTGACTCGGAGGAGAGAGGCCTTTTGTGCCGTCCGAGAGGGGCTGTGGCTGCAAAGCACAAAGAGAAGAATGCCAGGGTGGGGCCCGCGGGAGCACAGCACTTGCTCGCTCACCCTCCAGCTGTGTGACCTGAGCAAGTCACAGCTCACCCTGAGCCTCAGGGCCTTCTGATGGGGGCCGGGAAGCGGTGCAGGGGGGTGGCCCCTGGCGTCCCCCGATGACAGAGGCAGAGAACAGGAAGCCGCCCTCTCGGGAGCACCTCTCTTAGGTGCTCGGAGTTTCTACTGTGACTCTGTGCAGACAGAGGTGGAGAAAGCAAGGCCAGACAGGGGACGGGACCGTGGCGGTGGACAGTGGGCGGGCGGGCGGTGGGGTCCATTTTATTCCACACGGGAACATCCCCGAAACTGGGCTGAACCCACTGCGGCCATCGCTCCCCAGTCCCTCCGGCCCTCGACTCCTGAGAGACAAGGAAGCTTCGAGGCCTCTGGGCTGGCAAGACGCAGCGGGCTGCTGCTGCTGGCGTCGCCCCTGGCCACCACGGCCGAGAACGGCGTGCTGGCCGGGTGATCCCCGGAAGCAGAGCGCTGGGATATATACAGGAGATTTATTATGGGGGCTGTCTCC